GGACTAGCTTTTTTGTCCAAAACACAGTTTAACCGGTTTAAGCGCTATCCAAGCTGTTTTGTTCGCAAACGGCTTCCAAAGGGCTGTCGTTGGGCTGCCAGGCAAGGCATAAAAATTCCTAAATTCCGATTTTTGTAAAAAACGCCCTGGTCAGAAAAACATCCGAAAATCCGCGCGTTTCGCAAAAAACATGAGTAAATGATAAAAAAATTTCAGAATTTTAAGAATCGAAGATACGTGCTGGACTCGACTTTCCGAGAGCTTTCGATAGATACCTAAATCGTAAAAATCGGACAGGTCTGCGGCCGGCTAAGGGGGGGTTTGGGACACCCTGTACAGACGTCGCACTAAAGTGTATTCAGCTTGATCTGAAGGCAAAAGGACAGTAAATATTCAGATTGACTAGTCACGAAGGCAATTTTTTGGAGTAAATTTGCCTTCCCAGTCCCTTTAAAATAGTCTGGCGATCTGAGAGGAAGGTTTAAACACGATCTAGGGCTGAAAATAGCGCCACCAAAAGCTCGCAGACAAATCGCAATAATAGGTTCTGGGAACGGGTTTTGACACCCCCAATAAAAATTCCCACGTGGTCTGGGGGAAAATGCAAATTTCACTACATCTCGCTTAAGTATAGGCGTGTGTTTTTGCCGATACCTAGTCGGGACTTTGGTCGCAGAAAGATTGATACGAAAAATTCAATAAAGTAATTTTACACGTCTCAAAAAAAATGAAAAAAAAATCAAATTGGCCGAAATTTTGTACAGAAAATTGCAAAACCAAAGGCGCACCCATCCTTTGTCGTTCAATGAGCGTGCCCTGAAACTTGTGCCACCCCCGCGCTTCACATGCCAAATGTTTGCCTAGCTGACTAAAAACGGGGTTTTCGTTGAGCCCCGGTGTCGGCTTCAACTACCCGATAAAATTGATGGGAATATTTTGGCGAGCCTTCGAACGGGAAGGACAGCATTGAACGTTACATTTTACACTAGAAGAGACCTAAAAATCCAGAGAACAAAAACACGGTTTCTGAATAAAAAATGGGTAAACGGGCAGCAAAACCTAGTTGTCGAGACCTAGGAAAAGAAAGGGTTTAATTCTCACGCTTCGCGGTCCCTTTAATACGACGAAAACCGTCAAAATGGCTTGATATAACGTTAACGCTTTAGGAACCAAACGTATTGTGGCCATCACCAGCTACGAGATGATGAAAAAGTACATCGTTCAGCAGGGCGACAAATTCAGCGATCGCGAGCATTTCCAGGGCTTTAATGATATGTATCGAGGTATGAATTAAACATCTCCGTCGTTCTCTCTCTATCTCTATCTATCTCTCACTCTCTCTCTCTCTCTCTCTCGCTCTCTCTTTCCACATCTATTAATTCCAGGTGGAAACTATGGAATTATCGAGTCGGACGGCCAACTTTGGCGAGACCAGCGCCGCTTCGCCATCTCGACTTTGCGAGAGTTTGGAATGGGAAAGAATTTGATGCAAATAAGGGTACGGTAGCCGGGAGATACTTTACAAAATCGGAAATTTTAGGTACTCGAGGAAGTCGACTATATGTTTGCGAGGGTGGAGAAGGCCGGGATGAAATTGAGCGTGAGTTTGAATCGAGAAAGAGAGAGAGACAGAGAGAGACAACGAAAGAGAGAGAGACAGCGGAAGAGAGCGAGAGAGATAACCAAAGCCTAACCCTAGTTTTTAGGCAAAAGAGCTTCTCAACATTGCTGTAGGCAACATTGTCAATGGAATCATTTTTGGCTATCGTTTTGATGAAACTACACTACCTCAATTTTGGAACATTCGCCGTATCGTTCAAAAACAGCAGCAAGAAATGCCGAGCTTCATCGCCATCATTCTGTGGCCCCCGTTCCGGCATTTCCCATACTTTAGAGGTATCGCCTAGGCCCAATCCTAAGCCCAATCCTAAGCCTAATTGTAGAAATGTAAATCGGAAATTTTATAGACTCCTGGAAACGTCTCCAAGGATATCGTGACGATTTGTTCGGATATTTCAATGCCCAAATCGAGACCCATCGAAAGGAAATGGACTTTGATGCTGAGGTAGGTGAAGAATAGGGCGAGAGAGTGAGAGAGAGAGAGAGAGAGAGAGGGGGGGGAGAGAATGAAAGCGAGAAAACGGCGTCGTCGAAAAGTACGTAATCCAAGGGCATTATTGATGGACGACTGAAGCGTTGGCACTTATTGCGCTGCTGAAACTCGTCAGGGAGGGGCTGGGAAAGAGCAATATAACGACAGCTGGTGCTGATAAGCTGGCAGAAGTTATTATAAAAGCCTTTGGGAAAGCAGGGTGGCACTAAAATAGTTTAAAAAACTTTTTAAAGTTCAATTTTCTCTTCAGGAAAGTCAGTGCATGGCCGAGGTCTACCTGAAAGAGCAGCGAAAACACCAGAACGAGCCAGATCAGGGCGGCTTTAGGTAAGAGAACCCTGCTCAAAAAATAAAATTTACTTTCCAGCGACATCCAACTCCGGAATATCGTTTTTGACATTTGGTTGGCAGGTACGGTATCACATGAATTGATTTGTGCCAAAATTGGAGGTCAAATTTTTGGCTGAAAATGTCGAAACCTGGTGTTTGAGAAAACTAATGGTTGAGTTGAAGCAAGTAAAGCTAATGTCACTATTTAGCATTTGATCACGACAAAATAGGAATGCAGGCTGGTGAATTTCGCCCTTCTCTTAGGCGGAAAGCGAATTTGTCTTTTTGTGCAGCCCAATAGAAATTCACGGCGATTTTGGCAGCTCTGAACTCACTAAAGTTATCAACTAACTCACTCCAACAACTATCAATGGCAAAATGCCGCAGCTGAAAAGCCTAGATGCCAGACCGTGCGTTCGGGAAGCTATTAGCAGCAGCGCATCGTAGATGATCAAGATCGCCGCTCCAGCTATGGCACGCTTGAGATTGAATCTAAAGGCTTGAAGCTCCGCTTGGCAAACTGGTTACATCACGACTAGCTAAACAGAAACTATCCTGGGGAGGATTTTTGAGCACTAGCTAGACTTTTTCTTCTACCAAGGGCCGAATGGAAATTAATTCGATATCATCGCATCAAAAAAATCCTAAAAAATGGGGGTTTTGAAACTCGGACCGCGCGGCACTACTAAAGAACAGGTTCTCTCTAAATCACTCTCAAAATTCCATACGAATCCCCGCCTACTCAGTCCCTTTAACCTCCACTTCTAGGCCTCGACACTACCGTTACCACCCTGCAATGGGGCCTCAACTTTTGCTTCAACCACCCGGAACTCCGCGTCTTTGAAAAGATGCACGAGGAGCTGGATAGAGTTGTCGGGCGGAATCGGAAAGTGGAGATGAACGACCGGAACCAGTTGCACTACTGCAATGCCGTAATCGCAGTAAGGACTCGTATGAATTTTTGTTAATTTTTACGATTTAGGAAACGCAACGATTCCTCAACCTCGTGCCCCAGAATTTGATGCGAATCGCTGGGGAAGATGTCAATATTGAGGGGTACCTGATACCGAAGGGTACGGTAGTAATCCCGCAGATTAGCTGTGTGCTGTTTAATGAGGAGGTGGGTTCGAGAAGCAATTAATTGTTTGAAATTGGGTAGCATAGCAAGAGAGGGAGAGCGAGAAGGCGAGAGAGAGGGAGAGAGAGAAAATTGGGGAAAAGGACCCAAGAAATCTCATATAATCTTATAATCTTATAATTTATGTAGTATCCAATTATGGGAAAGCTAGAGAGAGCGAAAGAGAATGAGAGAGAGAGAGAGAGAGGGAGAGAGAGAAAATTGGGGGACCTAAGAAACAGAGTCAGAGCGCGGGTGAGAAGGGAAGAGGGTAAAAAGTTTGACGATTTAAAACAGCGCGAGAAAGAGAGAGAGAGAGAGAGAGAGAGAGAGAGAGAGTGAGAAAAAGAGAGAAAGCTGCGAAAACAGGAACAAGATTATGTGCTAACGACAGCGTGGGAACAAAATTCTCTATAGATCGTTAGCTGAAAAAACCAGATGTAAAATTACTAAACGAGCACGATACAACGACAAAAATCATCACGGAAAACGGGAAATTACGAATTTTTAAATACAAAAGGAACCCGGCGACAGTGTGCGCCATAGAGCCCCCCTTTCAGGCTTGGAATTCCCGGGCCTTCATGCTATTCATAGAGCGTATGAGAAATAGATACATTTTTGTTCAAAAAGACAGTCAATAGCTCGCTTTTCAGCTCTTCCCGGAACCCCGGAAATTCAAGCCCGAGCGCTTCATCAACGAGGATGGGACGTTTAAGAAGGTATAATTGAGATTGAAGCTACCAATCTTAAATAGAAGCCGTGAATGGAATCAACTAATTATGTTAAAACTAATTTTAAGGTGCCAGAGCTTGTCCCATTCTCAATCGGGAAGCGACAATGTGCCGGAGAGGGCCTGGCGCGCCTCGAGCTTTTCTTGTTCTTTACCAATTTGGTGCATAAATATGAGGTAAGCTATTAAAAATTGTAATCGTTGACTTTCTCTCTCCCTCTCTCTCTCTTTCTCTCGCTCTCTCTCGCTCTCTCTCTCTCTCTCTCTTCTCTCTATCGCTCTCTCTCTTTCTCTCTCTCTCTCAGGTACAAAGGGCCCTATCTAATTTAGTATTAAATACATTTTCAGCTCTCCGTCGACGAACTCCCAAAAAATGGAACGCACCTTTAAGACGATCACCGAGATCCCGGAATTTGATCTGACTTTTAAGGAGCGATTTTGATTGTATTTTTATGACATGTACATATTTTTCATGATCTTGAGCCGCATTTCTCATGCGATAAACCCGAATCCAGAAGGATATGATAGCTCCATCAGCGCATTAATGACCTGGGGGACAACTGGCGCGATTTGAGCCATGGCATAAAGGCTGAAAAAAGCTACGTTTCCTCAAAATTTGCTGGCTAAGTTTGCATACCTCCACCAGCATCGGGATTTCTTTGCCGTAATTCCATCATTTCATACCTTCAACTTTCCACCTTACCAGCTCGATGCCGCGGGAGAAGAAGGTTCACGCGCCCGACTGGGAGCTTCTCGCGTACCGCGACAAGGACGAGACCACCTGCCCTGTCGTGTGCGGCTTTGACGATAGGAGGAGCTGTGATGGATGGTGGGATACCTTAGCTATTCCTAACATAGAAATGGATAGAGATAGCGAGAGAGAGAGGGGAGAGCGATAGAGAATAAGGGTGATTCTAATCTTTTCAGGGTCCGCATCGGCGACTGTGAGCTGATGCACGGCTGCAGCGGCTGCTACACGATTGTCATCTATTTCTCGATGCTCTTGCTCGCCCCGGCCATCCTCATCGCGCTGCTCGTCGGTTACAGTAAGTGGGGGCAGTTTTTGGCGAGAGAGGGAGAGTGAGAGTAAGAGCTAGAGAGAGGGCTAGAGAGAGAGAGAGAGAGAGAAAGAGAGAGTGAGCTAGCTACTGAGAGCGAGAGACAGGGAGCGAGAGAGCATGACCTAACCAAATTTTTCCAGTATGCTTCCAACGTGGTCGTGCCGGGAAGAAGCCGTTCGCGTGAAAAGCCGACAACCACATGCCATTAAGCGCTCCAACCCTGCCGAAAAAGCTTTAAAAATATGGTCACTATCGAAATCTGTCACTTGGTCTCGTTTCATTGCTTAATAAATTGTTTTATGCTTTTATTGAGCGGAGGAGAACGGCTCCGACACACAATGGAAGCGATACCCGAATCGATAGAGAGGATCTTTATTTTCCTCAAACACGCAGAAAATAAATGGCAATCGAGTTTGTGAAAACGGCAATTGATAATGATTTGAAATGGTGAATTAACTAGCTTCGCCTTAAGGGGGTCGCTTGAACGTGAGGGCCCATCAGCCGCCGATCATCTTCTTGCCGGCCTTCCCGCGCTTGTAGCCCACTAAAAACGGGTTTTTCGGCCAACTTTTTCCAAGCTATTTTTGTCGGTAATTTTAGTTCAAAAATCGATATTCTTGTAGTTACACCGCTAGTAGACCGACTAAAAACCGTCACAAAAAACCCACTATAACCGACGAAGGCGCCGATGGCGATGGCGGGCAGCATGAAGCAGGCGACCATGTAGACGATCACCATGCAGTAGCCGCTCGAGCCGGGATGCACCTTGCATTCACAGAACAGGATTCTGAAATAGATAAAATGGAGGAGAGAGGGAGAGAGACAGCGCGAGAGACAGCGAGAGAGACAGAGAGAGGTAGAGAGGTCGAGAAAAAGAGAGAGAGAAAGAGAGCGTGAAAGAGCAACAACGAGAGAGAGAGAGAGCGAGAGAGCGAGAGAGAGAGCTGAGAGAGAGAGAGAGAGAGAAAGAGAGAGAGAAAGAGAGAGAGAGAGAGAGAGAGAGAGAGAGAGAGAGAGAGAAGGGAGAAAGAGGGGGAGAGACTCACCCTGCCCAGCATCGCTTCGAGCTGTCGTACGCAAGATGGAACGGCGTCTCTTGGGCCATGTCGCGGCGGCGGCGCGTGGGGCGAGGTGCCATTTGCCAACCGAATTAGCAGCCGGTTTTCGGAGGTATTACCATTTCGAGAGCGACAAATGGTCTATGTATCTGTATTCAAACTTCGCAGGCAAATTTGAGATTTTGAATTTCACGTTGGGCAAGACAAATGCTTGAAAAACGTCCAAAAACTTAAATTTTCAAAAAACAGCAAGAGGAAGACAATCATCACTGGCACGAGTTCCACCGCCCCCCCCCCCGCTAAGAACCGAGTACCAAAGTTTTCTGGGAACGGAGGGGGAGGGAAACTAAAATTTAACTGTATTTTTGAAATTTCCAGCAACTTACAAAAATTCCGCGAAATCGATACGGGCTTTTTTGCCAAGGCAAGCAAGCAGAGGCAATTGTTGACATGAAACATGTTGAATTAAACGATTTATTCGAATGTACATAACACCAAGAATTGCGACTGTTGTGTTGAATCGACGAATGCGGTGACTGCGAAAACGCTTGAGACGCTTCTTCTGAAAAAAATCATTAAGAAACAAAATGTTATTTTTTTTACCTTTTTAACCTGGAAAATGTTAATGTGCTGATGAGGGCGGCTTTGGTCTATCGTTTTCCCTTCCCGATGTAGTAGCCGACTGAAAAGTTTTTTAGCATAAGGCAAGCTAGCAGAGATTATTTGGGAAACAGGGCCAATACCGTACCCGCCCCGAGAAGCGCCGCGCAGCAGACCGCCGGGACACACATCAGCAAGAAGACGCAGAACATCATCGAGTAGTAGCCACCGTAGGTTTCTTCCTTTCCATGTTCATTTTTTCCAATCCTGAAATAAACTCGTGGAAGCAAAGCCTAAGCCTAAGCCAAGCCCAAGTCTAGACCTAAAACTAAGTCCAAGCCGAGTCCGAAGCCTTTTTCTAAGCCCAAGCCTCAGCCTAAGCCCAAGCCCAAGCCTAAGCCTAAGCCTAAACCCAAGCCTAAGCCTAAGCCTAAGGCTAAGCCTAAGCCTAAGCCTAAACCAAGGCTAAGCCAAGCTTAATCATAAGCAGAAGCCTCAGCCTCGCCTAAAAACCTCCAAAAGCCAACCATCCCTCGCACCACCGACTGGTGCCCCAGCCGAACACCTCGCGCTTGGGCCGTCGATTTCTTGCTTCCAGCGGCGGCGCCATGCCGCTCCGAGTGACGGTAGTTTTGAGAAATATTTTCTTTTTGGGCTGCCGATCGATTCCAGCTCAGTATGCAAATTTGGGCTTATTCCTAGACTCGCGGTGCTGACAGTAAATTATTGATCAGCGTTTCGTACCGGTATTTCTGCAAAATTTACGATGCTGATGGTCGCTTGGGACAACGATAGTAATTGTAAGGGCAAAAAAAATTTATCTAATACGGCTCGTCTGTTGGCGATTCCGATTTTGAGCAACTTCAGATTGGGGAACGCCCGAGGATACGGTAATCGTAACCGGGGCCTGGTCAGACTTCAGTTTAAAGTTAAAAAAAAAATGGATTAAATGAAATTAGGCAAAATTTTGAATGGTTTTATAATAAAATAAAAATATAAAATTTAAAACTTAAAAAAATATTTATTTTTTTTAATTAAAATAATAAATATAAAAAGACCAAGAGCCATAATTACAAAACAAAAATTATAATAAAAATAAAAAAAAAATTAAAAAAAAATAAAAAATAAAATAAAAAAAAATAAAAAAAAAATTAATAAAATGAAATTGGAAAAAATTTTAAAAAATTTTTAAAAATTTTAATCGATATGGAAGAAGGGGAAGGAATTAGGAATAACCAACAATAATTCAAAAATACGTCCTTTTTTCCTCAATTCACACCAAAAAACGTCTCCTTGTTAGCAGGATGACGTATGTGGCGCTAAAGCATATTTTTAGAAGAGAGAGAGGGAGAGAGCGAGGGGAGAGAGAGCGAGAGAGAGACAGTGAGTGAGAGGGAGAGGGGGGAGAGGGGAGGGACGAGGGTAGGAGCGAGGTAGGAGCAGAATTTTACCTTGTAATAGCTTGACATCCCTGCCAAAGGGCAGTAAATAGCAAAAATGTTGCCAATGTCGAGGCCAAATATTGCTGTCCGATCGCCATGGTTACATTCAGGATTATTCCGGTTATCAGATTGGAGATCATCTAAAAAGGCAAAGTTGCAACGACCTAATCCCCAAGGATCCCCGCTAGCCCTGTCTTGCTCAATCCTCAGGGCAGATTGGCAGAGATTCCTCGAGAATTTTAAGCTTTTTTTTTCTTCACTAGTTGACGATTTTAACGAATTTTTCTAATATCGTTTCAAAAATCGTTTTTCGCCACCCCTTGAAGCCCACCTGAGCCGCCAGCCTCATCTCCTTCTTCAGCTGCTCCCGTTTTTGTTTGCTATTCTGATGAGATTGGATGGCTTGAAAAGATCGGATCCGCTTGCGCATTAAATAGAAAATTGCCGCGTCAAATACCGTTTGAATTGAGAGCACAATATAGGAAGCCAAGATCTGAAATCATCATTTTGTAATCGATAATCTAGGAAAACCTGTGTGTAATACATAATCTCCTCCCCGCACGCTCCCTCGACATAGAAAAAGTTTTGGCCGTACGGGATGAAGATGGCACCACAGCCGGCTGAAAATGGGGGTTGTCATTTCCCCAAGGTTTTTTGATAGCTTGCCTACTTTTGCGAGCGTTTCCGGAAAGGCTTCCTTAAGGATCTTTGCTAGTTCTCGGGCCGATAGGCAAAATTTAACTAGGACTTCTCAATGCTTTCTGCTAGCCTGCCTGATGCAGACTTCCGTCTAGAAAAACGCTTCCCCAAAAATCTGTGCTAGCCTGCTCTCGCCAAAGGTTTCGGCCTGTCTATCCAGCCCGAACTTCTTCAAAAACCTCGGCAAGTTCGCCTTCTAGTTAAAAAAAACTTTCGAGAGCGAACTTTTCCTTAAAAATCTCTGCTACCTTGCCTTGATATTGGATTGAACTTTGAAATTCAAGCAAAATTTCGTCAAGGACCTTCGCTAGTTTCCCTTCTCTTAAAGAGACATGACTTTAAGTTAAAATCAAGGTCATCAAAAATTTCCTCAATGATCGCTGCTAGTTTGCTTCCGTAGCCGAGTTTTCCAGAATTTGTCGCTAAATTATCTAGGCTTGTCGGGGTGTTTTAAAAGTCGACCCTACTTTTCGAATATTTTTGCTAGCCTGACTCGTTCCAATCATCCCGAATCCCGCAATGCGCTCTGCTAGCCTGCCTCACCCTAATGGAGCCGGAATTCCTCAAGCGTCTGTGCTGGATTGTTCAATCGCCCAGCTTCAACTTACGAATCGCATAGGCAATCCCTGTCGCCAAAGGATAGGCCACCATAATCCCGTACTGCACATAATTCGTCCTCTCGTAATATTTATAATAACTTCCGCTAAATGCTAGGGCAAAGAATCGATTGAAGGTGAGGAAGATCTAAATTTACGCCACGAATTTTAAGGTTTTGAAGCTTACTTTTGGCGGAAATCCCACAGATACAGCCGAAAAAGCTATACCCGAAAAAATATAATCTAGCAGCGGGCTCCACTCGTTTAACTGCCTAAAAAATTGACTAAAACGAAATCTTATTAGGATACCAAATTGCGCATGGAAAGCCCCAGCACAAATGACACCCGTTGATTAACAGCATATTTAGGAGGTCCACAAAAGCGTAGTGCTCAATGATACCTAAGAATGAGATTGAGAAAAAGAGAGAGAGAGAGAGAGAGAGAGAGAGAGAGGTAGATAAAGATAGAGTGAGAGCGAGAGAGAGCGAGAGAGAGAGAGCGCGATAGAGAGTGGGGGAGAAAAAACATGATACATTTAAACACCTTTTAGAATCGAATTCCGGCGCACGATGACAAACCCGTAGATTGCGAGCATAGTCCCGAGCAGGCCGAGCTTAAAATCAAATCTTTCAAAAATCAGACTTCGAATTCAAGTTTCAAAGGCCTTTTTTTCGTTATTTTCATAACAACAAGTTTGTAAATCGAATCGAAGATCTGGTTGTGCTGAAAATAGGAAAAATCTGGATTTTCGTCATAAGCAAACTCGTAGATTTTATGCGCCGCTTACCGTAGCCATGCAAACAATATCGAACAGCTGCTCGCTGGGATCAACTTCAGCAGAGTAGTCATCATCCGGTAACGGTGTGGTATCGCTCGTACTATCCTCATAATACGGGGTGGTGCTGGTCGAGGCGAGATTCATAGGGCATCTTTGTACAGCTAAACCTTCAAAAATTAATATTTACCTGTAGTGGCTTTTGCAAAGAGCTTTTTTTTAAAACAATCACCAACAAAAAGTTCAATTTAAAAATATTAAAAAAAAAAATTTTCAGAAATCTGGATTTATTTAATCGAAATTTTTTAAAGCAAGAAGCCATTCAAAATCGGCTGGCAAACAGCTTTGCATCGAACAAATTCAAAGTACGAAAATTCCAAAAAAAACTACATTCTCAAGGGTAGAATACACTTTTCGAAGCCAAAGATCAAGCTGGAGTTCCGATTTTTACGCGGAAAACAGCAAAAGGCCCGCAAATACTGCGAAGAAAGAAAAAGTCCTTCCGTGGAATTACCCTTTAGATTAAATAAATCGTGAGCAATTTGGGCGCCGCCGATTTGCGGGACCGCAGTTTAGCGACATTGGTAATGGGGTCTAGGTGAGCTTCGATAGTTGAGCAACTAAACTTCGGTTTTTCAGGGATAGACATGTTTTAAAGGCGATATTTTAAGGTTGAAAATCGGAATAACCTTGACGTTTGGATTCTCATAGTATACGTTGGCAACCGAGAAAACATAAGGGAACAGTCATTCGTAAATCCGCAGATTTTCACAGGACTCGACAGGTGTTCCCAAACCAGGTGTAGTTCTAGCTGTGCGCGGTTTTTCAATATCCACTGGTCTGGCTAAAACAGCAGAATTTGGTCGGCAATTTACTGACAGTAAGACCTTAATCTATAAAATCTAAGGAAATCGCTTTAAATTTCTAAAAATCCGCATTTTTAGGAATCCCAAATTTCAAGTTTTAGGGTTCTGACACACGCAAAAAATTAAATTCAAACCTTAAAATTTCTGATTTTTCGCATTTTTTACTTATTTTTCGAGTATTAAATTTGTGCACTCATCAGCTATCCGTCAATATTTATTAGTGTTCAATTCTGCATGGCAATGAGTGTAATATCAGGGATTTCGGCGTACTGTTCGGTATCGTTGTAGGAGAAGTCTGGAGGACCCGTCAGGCTTTTTAATCCCATCGAATTTTCGGTCAGCATACTCTGGAACGGCGTAGAGGTGCGGTGTTTGGGCAGCCGGGCGTGGCGCTCTGCAAGAAAACTAAATTTTTGAGGTTTTCAAAGTCGTTTTTGAAGTCGTGATCGAGAAAATACGCCAGAAACGGTGCTTTTGCAATACCAGAGGGAAGCTAAATTTCTTCCTATGCAATTTCTTGTTTGTTAACGTCAAATCCAGAAAACACGAAAAACAGCGTTTTTGATATCAGGGGGAGGAACCTAATTTTTCCTGAAGTCCAGATATGACTTAGAAAGTTTTGAATAGTTTTTGTGAACATTTAGCGATATTTCAAGCCTTTTTTCAAAAATTGAAAATGATGAATATGTTAAAAATTTTGTTTTTGATTTGATTTGATTAAAATTGACAATGGGTTTTTTTTATTTATTAAATATTGTAAAGTTTCTACGTTTAAAAAAATAAAAAAGCATGTAGAAACAGCCCTCTATTTCTATTGGAAGAATTGGTGGAAATTTTTGTTTCATTAGGAAAAATAGTTTTTTCCGATTGTCAGAAATCGCAAAAACAAAATATTTTTCAATTTAGAAAAAATCTTTTAATCGCAAGACAAAGAATTACCTGTTTTCCGGAATCTTTTCGCATTCCTGCAAACGCTGGCGATCGCCGAGAAGACGCTGCCGCCAGATTTCTCGGCGCCCGGGGCCTTGGTGATGTTGAGGGCGGGCAGGAACTGTAAAAACTTGTTCAAAAAGGCCAGATTTCAGCTTCCATTCATGGGAATGAATAGCGTAATCGATTAGCCCTCATATCTAGAAAAACAAAAATACCTTTTTCTTCGTTTTCAACAACGTCTTCCGTAGCCCGCGCGTACTTTCGAGGTGCAGCAAAACCGGGCACTGGTTGTCAAACTCGAGCCGCGCGCACTTTTCGCTGAATTCGGCGATCTAAAAGGATTAATTATCAAGATTTTCCGCAAATTATTACCCTCAACTCGTAGAGGTTCAGGTGCAGCTCGAACTTGCGGTTCTTCCACCGAATTGCCGTCAGCGAGGTGCCCTGAAAATGACGGTAAATCTTTCGAATTATAGACAAGCAAAATGGCGTGATTAGCAATCAAAGCAGGTATCGTAAAATCATAAAAAGCTACCTTTATGAAAGCCATATGCGTGCCCTTGATTTGTTTTTCTTGCGGCGGCTCGCCTGTAGATTTGTACAACACTTCGGGGTCGAGGAAGAAGCCGGTGCCTGAAAAGAGCTTGATCAACACCAGATAATCATAATAACACTAATTTTCGAGCGAAAATCGATGATTATCGAGCAGATTTCAAGTTTTAGCCGTTTCCTAACGTTTAAAAATCGTTTTCCCTTGTGTTATAGCTAAATTGTACCAAAAACAGTGAAAAAAACTTGCTAGGGCGCCAGTAAACGTCCTTGGACCAGGAAAAAAAAACAAACGGTAGGCCTGATAACGCGAAAGATTATGCTAAAAACTGACCTAAATACTATAATTGTGAAAAAAATTACATACCATTTTTATACAACCGCCGAAACACCTCTACCCACGAGAGCAGGTCCTTCTCCTTGGCAAACGCGAGCTGCAGCGTGCGATCGGTGAAGACGAGCGTGAACGCCTGCGAGTTCTTGTAGCTCGGACCACCTAAATCGGAATGAAAATATAAATAAAGTAAAAAAAACCTTGTATAAACCCCATAAAAGCATCCATATTCCACGTGCCGACAAAACCGTCGATGTCGAGGCCGAGGATGTCGTTTTTCGTGGTGCGCTCCAGCCGCATCACCGCCGGGGTCCACTAAAAAGGTTTTTATAAAAATTACACCGGTCGTAAGGTGAAATAAACCTTTATTAACGCGTACATAGGAATAATAAACGTAGCCGAATAAGAAGGATCTCAAAATAACTCTATTTTAAGTACTTTTCGCTCAAAAATGACATAACTTTGCCTGGAATTTCTCTAAATTGAACAACAACATTGTATACAACACTAAACTATGATATAAACGTCAGCAAAACATTCACAACTTGATCTGGGTTAAAAAATAAACCGGTCTCGCGCGAAAATAGATCAAAAACATTTTTTTCAAGCAATTTTGTCTCAAAAATGACATTTCACCCATAAGCTGGGTAAATTCATCAGAATGCACTTACTATAACAAATTAAACTACTAAAAACCCTTTAAATAGATTCCGCCATACTTTTAGATTAGTTTGAACAGTAAAACCAAAATTTACATACCTTACGCCCGTCCTGCTGGTAGTAGCATTGGGAGCGAATCGTGAATGCTTGGGTCAGCAGCGTCTCCATCGGCATTTTATTAGTAGGGTTAGCAGGGGGAGAATAAGAAATAAGTTGTGAATGGATTGGATTCACAAAATAGTTGCTTATCGGCCCAAAAAAGCAGAAGTTCCGAGGGCGTGCGGGGTACTTTGATGTTTCATTAGTGCGTCTTTCCGTGCAATTTTTTTGGACATCTGCCATCGCTACTTCAAAGGAAACGTATCTTTGCTTCACTAACAGCATTATTTTTTAATTTATTAGTTTTATTAATAATTTTTTTACCATCTGGGATTGGTACTGAACGGCAACGTATCTTTGCTACATTAATAGCACAATCTTTTTCGTTATAAAACTTGCGATAATCGATAAGACAATGGAAATACCTATTTTTAAAGCTCCTGCGTTTCGAAATGTCGCTTTAAAACTTTATTTTTGCCAATCATCGCTAAGTAAAGTGTAATTTTGCCGAAAATTTAAAAACGAGACTGAAACTGTAAAAAAACCCTGCCTAATATGTCATATTCTAGATTTTCAAAGGCTATTTCCAGCTCTTATTTCAATTCGGCCACCAAAAAAGGAAAACATATTCAGTTTTGGACATTTTCCGATGCTTAACCATAATGACGTTTTAAATTACGCAAAATTCACAAATTGAATGCACCAAGAACGGCAAAACTTTATTCAGCACCTCCTCACTCACAAACGACGCCATTTGACAAAATTATACACGGAAAACCGATCCTAAAATCACAGGCACGCCACAATATTTCGAATGATGAGTTTTTACACTCACAAGAAAAATAACACAGAAAAGCAACAGGAAATAAGGGCTAGTTAGTGCTTGGCGTTTGCCGCGAAGTCGAGAAATTCACATGAGAAGAGTGAGAATTGAGAGAGATCAGTTTTTAGCTCAGCGTGCGCTGCGGACGCGCATCAGCAGCCCCATGTAGCCGATCAGGTAGAAGACGACGATGAAGCCGATCATGGCTAGCGCGTCCCAGCCCATCATGTACGAGTTGAAGGAGAGCTTGTCAAGCGTGTCGGCTTGCTGAAAAAGATCCAAGTTAGCTAGCGGGGGATGCCTAAGCCTAAGCCTAAGCCTAAGCCCAAGCCTAAGCCTAATCTTACCCCAAAAAAACAACCCCAACCCAAAAAAAACCCAAACCAAAAACCCCCCCCAAACCAAAACTTAACCCCAACAACACCCACCCCCCCACCACCACCGAAAAGAACCCCGACCAAACAAAAAAACAAAAAAAATCAGCCTAAGCCTAAACCTTAGCCCAAGTCTAAGCCTAATCTAATCCTAAGCCTAAACGACTCACCTTCGTAGCATTCCAATGGACGCCCGATTCGTCGACCCGGTCCCACTGGTTGATCGTCAGCGATTCGAAGCCGTACCTAGATCGTGCCGTACCGTATCGTATCGTAGCATCTTGTAGCGTATTGTGTAGCGTTGTGGCGTATCGTATCGTATTGCAGCGTAGTGTATAGTAACGTATCTTAACGTCGTTCACCTTATCCTACTGTATCGTATCACAGCTCGGCGTAGCGTAGCGTAGTGTCTCATTTCGTACGGTAGCGTACCGTAGCGTAGCGTACCGTATAGTTATGGCTACCTCTCAGCCTCTGGTACTTTAACTAGCTTACCGGAACCAGGACACGTATTGGATCCAGCTGATGTAGATGGGCATCTGGCCGACGTTTGCGTAGAGGCCACCCGTCAACGATAGGAGCGTGAGGAGAGGACCTGAAAAGGCATGGTTTGACTGAGGCTTAGGCTTAGACTTAGGAATAAGCTGACGTCATGAACAAGTTCAACTCACCAGCCAATGACACAGCGACCGGATAAGACGGCGACACCGTGGAGAGCATCACGCCGAATGCAGAAGCCGACTGCTCGATGAGGATGGAGAGGCCAATACAGCGCAGAAACTATAAAAGTCAAGCTAAAGCTGTTCACCATCTAGAACCCGACCTGCGCCACCGTCGCGTTCAGCCCAATCATCCAGTAGGCAATCGTCATCATCAGGACGCCGTCGAGGGTGAAGAGCGGCACGTAGGAGATGGAGCGCGAGAAGTAGTACGCACCGACCTAACAAGGAGACAGCGAAGCCAGCCGGATGGCGAGTCAGTTTACTTTGTGGTAGATTTGCTGATTTTGACAATGTTTTTGTGGAATAGTTATTTTCGAAAAGTTATGAACGATTAAACTCATAACAGCCCAAAATCGGTTACTTTCCGATAAAGCAAAGTTGCTCAAAATACGTTTTGTGACAAAACCAGATAGTGCCATCTGCCCAGAAAATTTTCTATGAAATGTACCATCTTTTCCAAAATCTTTGAAAGTTTTGTCTAAAACCTATTCCGAAGCCTTTTATGACTATCGAAAGTTGTCGATTTTGAGCTGTTTTGAGGTTTAAATCGTTCATAACTTTCGAGAAATGGCTATTCCGCAAAAACGGTTAACATATTCGAATCAGCGTGCTCCCACAAGATAGGCTTGGTCCCGTGCCAAAGTCCCGACGACACTCATAAACGTCTCCTTGTAAGAAAAATCGACGTTTTCAAGCAGTTCACCCGCTCACACTGTACAGCCCGTCATGGTATTCCCTGACGACCAGGGATAGTCGTTGGGCAAGAAGGTCAGAATGCCGAACAGCGTCGAGTAGGTCAGCTCGCAGACCAGGTGAAGAGGGCGCCGTTGATGTCGACCCCGAACGGCTTCGACTCGGTTTGAGGCAGAGAGCCCGACAAAGAGGCCCGAAGAAGATGATCATACGGCGGTAGAAGCAAGGCTCACCATGATCGTCTTCTGACAATCTTGGCCTTGGCGAGGGACGGGTTCCGCCAATTATCGATGAACGCCCGGGTGGACAGGGCGGAGAACTGGGCCCAGTGGCTGACTTGGTGACGGCCGGGTGGGACCTCAAGGAAGTGAGATAAAAAAGATTTTTCTAGCCTAAGCCTAAGCTTCAAGCCTAAGCCTAGGCCTAAGCCTAAGCTTCAACCCTGCCTAAGCCCGCTGCTTGTCCGCTTCAAGTCTGGTTTCCCGGGGGGCCAAGCGGAAGCCTTAAGCCTAACCCTGAGCCGAGCCCATGTTTCCTCCCCCTTCTTTCGGGTCTAAAACCCCACATCCTTCATGTCCACCGAGACGACCTCCTGGCGCAACGTTCAATGTGCCTGTTCTTCTCGAACGTGTCATTGATGGGCCGATGCGCTTCTGACATTCCACCTCAAACCTCATCTGTACGTGTAGATCTCCAGCCCCACCTCATCACCCGGCACCATGGCCAGCGTGTGGATGATCATATCTGCGGGCTGAAGCAAATTGGTATCGGGCACGGGGGCTGGCCTCTCGAAGAAGCGCATCGACTCGGTCGGGTTGCCAAAGTACGCCGCCTTGCCGCAGGCGAGGAACATGACCAGGTCGAACATGGCGGGGAGCTGGGAGGCAGGCTAAACGTGAACTTGTTCGAGCTGTTGGATCACGAGAGACCTGATGGATGGTGCAGATGATGGTGCGACCGCTGTGGGCCAGGTTGGAGAGGACGGAGACAACCGACTCGGCCATGAACGAGTCAAGACCGGTGGTGGGCTCGTCGCAGAACATGATTGGAGGGTTGGAGAGGAGCTCGCAGGCGAAGGTCAGGCGACGGGCTTCTCCACCTGTAAGAGAGGGTAGATGAGAGGGAAGAGAGAGGAGAGAGAGAGCCTCCCGTACCCGAGATGCCCTTCTTGAACCCGATGACCCCGATGGGGGTGTGCTGGCACTTGAAGAGGCCAAGCTGGCGGAGCACGACGTTGACGCGCTTGATGCGCTTTTCTCGGGAGCCGTCGACGCGAAGTCGGGCCTTAAGTGTACCGTAAGTAGGTCAAGGTTTGGAACGTACCTGAACGTTTAGGTATTCTCGTACGGTCAGGGTTCCGACGAACAGTTCTTCCTGCTGGGCGTAGCCGGAGACGGCTGTGATTCCGGCGCCGATCTGAGCACGAGAGTTAGAACGAGAGGAGAGAGGGAGAGAGAGATACCTCATGCCCATTCACCAGCACCCTTCCCTTGACGTCGAGCCCCTTCAGGTTCCTCCCCAGCAGCGTGTTGAGCAGTGTCGTCTTGCCGGCGCCACTGTAAGACAGGTGTCACGCTCCTATAAAACCGTACCTAGCTCCCATGAGTGCCATCAACTGCCCAGGTTTCGTCACCCCGGAACACTCCTTCAGCAGCTGGCGCACCAGACTTGCCTACCGACATGTTCAGGTTCTCCCAGGAGTGCACGGACGGGTCCTAAAGGTGCAGGGACGTTAAGGATTTGCGAGACGTCGCTTTTGCGTTACGATCGCGTCCCGTAACAAAAATTCAAGGTTTCCGCACCACAGATTCCAGCGCCGACTCGCCGACGCTGTTCAGCCCGCCGTACTCGGAGCGCTCGGAGAGGAGGGATTGGCTCTCTTCGTTCGACATTCGGGAAGGGGCTGTAAGGGGAAATTTCTGGAGCTTTCAGAAACCCAAAATGCCGTAGACAGAAGCACTAGTAGAGAAAACCAAACTAGAAACTAAAAACCCACCACTTGGAAGCGAGTAGAGGAAGGAAATGCCCGAATTCTATTGCTGATTAAGAACATATAGGGATAAAGTTTTATGCTAATTAAGTGGAATGAGGGGCATCGATTTTCCTGTTTCATAGGAACCAAGATTCATCGATGCATTAATGTCAGAAGTGTTAACCAATTCGAGATAAGCAGTTTGAAAATCTACAAGTCAATCGCCGCCCCCTTTCCGTCAGTTCTTTCGGACCGTAATTTGTGTATTGTGCTGTAGCTTGTGCCCGCCTATTCCAGGTCTTATCCAGCTTTATTGAGGGCATTCGATAGTAGACCGCGAGGGCTGCTGGTAGAGATGTTGCTGACGGTAGCGGGGCCGCTGACTTCGTTTGGGGTTTCCGTTCTCGGAGTAGCGTTACGTAGGTGGCACTAAATTTTGCGATTATCTCGCTTTCTCACTCACTCTCTCTCCCCCTCTCTCGCTCTCTCACCTATTTATTGTCATGCACAGTTGCCAGAGAGCTGTATAAAGTATAAAAGCTTCAAACGCTGAGGCTATATAGCTCTCTCCCACCGATAAAGAGACGTTTAGAAAGATACCGCATAGCAGATTGAGGATCATCTAAAAAGTCTATTGAACGAGAGGCCTGAGATAGAGAGAGAAGAAAGAGAGGGAGAGAGGGAGAGAGAGAGAGAGAGAGGGAGAGAGAGAGAGAGAGAGCACGAGAGGGCCTGACCTGAGCAGCCAATCTCATCTCCTTCCTCAGCTGTTCCGCTCTTTGGCGACTGCTCGGATTCCCTGGATTTCTCTGAACGCTCGAATCCTCCTCCTCATCAAGTAGAAAATACAGCAATCCAAGAAGGTGTTTATAGGGAGGTAGATCCAGCTGGCTAGGACCTAAAAAACTTTCTTCCTTAAGCTACAAAAGAAAAAACATGGATTTTGAGGATTTTCCCCGGAAAATGCGCTGTAAATTTTTCAAAAAAATCCAATTAAGTAAATCCAGCAAACAGATTCGGAAACAGCGCAAAATTCTGCACAAGGTAGGCTTGGTCTCGACACCAAACTTGGATGTAAACCAATTCCCTACAATTTGCAAAAGCTGTCCGTCCCTTCTGCATTACTGTACTTCAAAAACCCTCAAATCCTCACCTGCGTGTAGTACATAATTTCCAAACCACAATCGCCTTCGGGCATGAAGAAATTCTGCTCACGAGGATGAATATTACACCACAGCCAGCTGCAAAATGGGTCCGTGAACCGGGCTGGGCCATTCGGGTCAAATAGAGAGAGAGAGAGAGCGAGAAAGAGAGAGAGAGAGAGAGAGAGAGAGCAAGAAAGGGAGAAAGCACGATATCGAACAACTTACCGATTGCATACCCTATCGCTGTAGCTAGCGGATAAGCTGCCATTATAAAATATTGAACCGAATATGTCTGTTCCTAGTATTTGTAGTAACTCCTTCAAAGGCGAGCGCAAAGAAGCGATTACTGGGATAGAAAATCAAAAGAAAATGATAATAGAGAGCGGGAGAGAGAGAGGGGGAGTCGGAGAGAGAAAGAGAGATAGAGCGATAGAGCCAAAATCCTCACTTTTGGAGGAAACCCGATAGACACCGAAGTAAAAGCTATACCAGAAAATACGTAGTCTAGAAAGGGACACCACTCGCTGGCGTGCCTAGAAAATTACGTTTCTTTCCTATTGACGTTACGCTACGTACCAGATTACGCAGGAACAGCCCATAACAAGTGACAGCTATTGATGAGAGTCATATTTAAGAGATCCATGAAGGCGTAATGTTCGATGATACCTTAAATTCAAGTTAGAGAGGGAGGAGAGAGAGAGGTGCGAGAGCGAGAGAGCGAGGGAGTGCGAGAGCGAGAGCGAGATAATTACCTTCAAAATCGAGTTTTTCCTAACAACAATGAACCCAGTGATGCTAAGGCTGGTCCCAAGGAGACCGAACTGAAGAGAAAATTATTTCCTAATTGAGAAAAAATATAACTTACAAAAGTCATGATATAGACTTCCAAAACGCTCACATCCTCAGGAGGTGGTAGCTCATCGACTGGGGCTATTAGTGGAGTGGCTAGCTTTCATTAAAAACTGGGTCATCTATACGCGTATTTCCCACTCAACCTGAAAAAAACTGCGAGAATTAGTGCATCTAGCGCCGTAACAAGGTTATGTATGTAGTGCATAAAGTAATTTACCAGCCAGCCAAAGAAAAAACAGATAAACCCTGCAAAACACAGCCGATAGCGTAGAGTAGGAATACCGGTAGAATTGAGCGCTCCATTTTTGCAATGCGTTGGCGGCGGAAAGGGGGTTGCGCAGGTGCATTGTGTGAAGTTGAAGAACGTTCAGTAAAGCTTCTCCCTATGCTTGGTTTTGACATTTGGTCTCAGATGTCGTGGCCAAAATCAATCAAATCACCGGCCCGTAATTTTAGTGAGTCATGTGACAAGTGAAAAATCGCAGGGTCCCAACAGAATTTGCCAAAAATATGTATATATGTTGTACAAAATGTATTTATGGTTGTCGCTTCCTGTGGTGTGGTCATGGAAATGGAAAAGTTTGCCTGTCGACCTCTCTCCTTCCTCACGCAGGAATACGATGTAGCTGATGCTGGAAATAGTATATTTTAGCCTTACAGGAATCAGTAGGCTTAAAAATCCTGATGATTTTGGTGAATGGGTCACATATTACATATTTTAAGGAAAAAGGTAAAACATGTTTGAATTTTCCCCATCGTCCTTTTCTGCGGCCGTATTAGGCCCGGTTTTTCGTGTCCTCGTTTCGTCGTCTCGGGACCTAACCGCAGCAAAGGGTGCACAGCATAAAATTTTAACGGGACGTTGATGGGACCATCGGAAACTTTAGAAGCTACGTTTCTCCATAAAATTCCCACGACACGCAACGCGCTCTCGCCCGCATTTTTCGTCGCGTGATGGATTAAAACCCATTAATCAAAGCAATTAAACCCGCGCGTTGCGTGTCGCACTTGCGTCAAATTTGTAAAAGAACAATGCAGAAAAAGCCATATTTGGCGTTACTTATCGTTTTAAAGGTGACCGAAGAATCAAAAATTAACCGACCACTGTCAGGTTTCAAAGATCCAATTGGTTTCGTAGCTCCCCGCCCTGTTGCTATGTATCCTACCAATTGACGAGGGTACAATCTGCCAGAGTGCTGTATAGAGAGGAACGAGCCCAACTGGACGATAGGGAGCCCCTCCGCGATCGTTATTGTGACATTCAGAATCAGCCCTGTCGTCAGATTCACGGCTATCTGAATGGAAAACGATACTTTTAAATGGCCGACTAATGGGAACTATGTGATGAGCACACGGCAGCTTTTCGGCCTCACAGCACAGAGAACCCATAACATTCCCTTTCCGGTGACTTTAAGGTAACCAACGCACCTGCAAAGCCAGGTTCATCTCCATCCTCAGTTGCTCCTTCTTCTTGCCGACATCGTGGCTTTGTTTTGCATGAATAGCCGTAACGTTTCCGCATTAAAATACAGATCAAGAGATCAAAGAAGACACAACCGGGAGGAAGATCCAGCTGAGGGATGATCTGGGAAATGAAGAGGTTCTCTATTACCGTCGCGCACGCTGTCCCTCTCTCTCTCTCTCTCTGTCTCTCTCCCTCTTCGCTCTTTCTCCCAACTCTTTCTCTCTCTCTTTCCCACGCACTCTCTCTCTCTCTGTCACTCTCCCTCCCTCCTCTCCCTCTCACTCTCTCTCTCTCTCTCTCGCTCCTTCTCTCTGTCTATCTCTCCCTCTATCTCTGCCTACCTGTGTGAAATACCATAATCCTCTCCCCACAACTCGCTTCAATGTAAAATATATTCAACCCATCGGTTGCAAACGTTGCGCCGCAACCTGCTAAAAAATGGAAAGCCAAAGATCCGTAAAAAAAGTGAAAACTCACGTATCATATAAGCACTAAACGTGCCCCAGCGTGTAAATTAGCATAAAGAAATATTGAGCAACATAAGTTCTTTGTAACGAATTATAGAATCGGGCCTCAAAATGAGAGAGCGAAAAAGCGATTGATGCGAGGAAGAGCTGGAAAATGAGGCTTAACGATATAAAGAACAATTGCCTTAATGTAGATAATTTGCATAATTTATAAAATTTTACGCCAAAGTTACCTTTGGTGGGAAAGCCGAGGGATACACTGGTAAAAGTTAATGCGGAAAAGATATAATCGAGTGACGGTTAAGATCGTTGATGCCCCTAAAATCAGCAAATCGCAGAAAATATGGTAAAGGAGGAAAAAGGGAACACAGGTGTAAGATAAACAACATAAAAGGGAAAACGTTTTACACGTACCAAAGCGCGCAAGGCAAGCCCCAAAATAGGTGACCACCATTAATAAGCAGGTTAGCCAGGTCAAACAGACAGTAGATTTCTGACGATACCTGGAAAAAGCAACGCGTATGAAGAAAGAGAGACAGAGAGTGAGAGAGAGAGAGAGAGAGAGATAGAGATAGAGAGAGAGAAATTGAAAGATAGAGAAATGGTACAACCATACCTTTAATCATAGAATTCTGGCGAATAACGTGTACCAGCAAGTCCCAGTACGAACACCGATAAGTTTCTCCACCTAAAATTTTTCATAGATTTGGGTTTAACCTTTACTTAAGCTTAGCTTGGGCTAGACTTGGCTTAGGTTTGAAGCTTAGGATTAGGCTCTTGTAGCTTAGGCTTAGGCCCAGACTGAAGTTTATCATTAGGTCAAACCCACCGCCCCAATCTCAACAAGTGCAATCGTGTTCTCAAGCTCATCGATCGGCTCTCCGTAGGCGTGAAATCGATAGTTGAAGTGGTATTTTCGACATCCATTCAGATGACTTCATCACGGGCCAACGGAAATCCATAAAAACTCTGGGGGCTGACTGGAAGTCAG